TTAATTTCCATCTCAGTTCATCCGCCTGTGCCTGAGGGATGTTCAAGGCCACCTACTTAACTCTGGCAATGATGTCCAAGTATGGCACTCGCCTGATGGTTGTAAGTGAGTTGAGACCCTTATTCAATACTGACTCCTCAGAGGCACTCAGGTGATATTGGCTGATGTTGACTACTGCTTTCACTGGTGGGTGATGGACCTTGTCGTCACCTTTTAATCTTTCAATCTATTTAATTTTTGCACTTGCAAGCCTTGACTACATCAAATTCGTGTCCGGAAGGATTTATCCAGGTCATTTTGGATCTTTCTCTGGTCTTCTTCATTAGTAATTCTATTGAAGAAATCCTCAATAAATCTGGGAGATATGAGCTTGTAGTCGATGTTTTTATATAACAATTGTACTGGATTCTCTCTTGGACAAGGCGTGTCCCCCTTTCTCTCTTGACCGACAAGCTCTCCTTGAATTGATGGGGAAGTCTTGTGCCAGGCCTGAAGGGGATGAGTTGTAGGTCCTCTGCATGGTGTAGGAATGTCAGATGGTTCAATATTCGTGCCAGTTTCTGGTAGGATTTTTCAATTTGTCTCCATATTTTTGGTATATCGGGTCAAAGATGAGGACAATAGTCCGAATAATGTAAATAATGTACATAATACCTCATCTCAGAAATATAGACAAAGTATTTCTGGGGTATTAAAACCTATTTTTACACTTTTATAATGCTTTTTACCTCGGTTTCGTGGTTTACTATTTGCCCATAGCTGGGACCCCAACAGGTGCTACCACCCCAGGTCAGGGTGGACCTGGGAATACCAGCAATTAAGGTGGTTCCACACTCCTCAAAGCCTCCTGATCAGAAGCCTTGCTGTTGGACGTAGTTTATCATCTTACCCAGGATGTGGATGTAGTTTATCATTATACCCAGGACGGGTAATCAATTTGCGAACGAGGTCCGGATGGATGTTGGAATGTCCACAGATGGTTTGGATGCTTCATGAACCTCGTGTTTGTAATTTGGAGTTAGAATTCATGAGCAAAGTCTGTCAGTTTTTCATGCCCCCCCACCTTTTTGATTAGTTTCCTTATAATATGTTAACAGAACATCATCGTTCCTTATTTGACTATTGAAATCTCCTGAGATAACGAGGAAGTTGAGGGAGTGGACAATTTCTGTTATTCTCTTTAGATCAGAGTAAAAGTGTCTACTAGTTTTTCATCACTTGTATTAGGTGAGCAATAACAGGCAATGAAAGTTGTTTGAGGGTTACTGTTGAATTCAGCAATAATTATACTATCAGATATTTTTTTTTTTTTTTTTTTTAACAGATAGCAAGTTTCTTGAGACTTTAGGAAGGAGAAGAATACTAACTGTGCTGACTGTGGAACCTTGGAAGTTTTTAGTAGCTGATGTGCTGATAAATTGGTATTGATCAAAGTTGTTATAATTCAGGTCAATGTCAGGGTGATGGTACCTATGCTCTGGGATACTCAAGATGTCAATTTTATTTTGCTTTGTGAAAAATAGAAGCTCTAGTTTTCTGATGGTCTTTGACAAAGTTTGTGAATTGAAAGTGCTGTAGACAATAAGAATTTTGCAATTCATGAAATTTGATGTAGACTTTTTGTTTGTTGTTCCTGCATCTCCCATTTTGCAATTACTTTGCTCCAAAGAGGTGAGAGGTCATCTGTTTCATGAGAAACAAGGTTTGAATTGGTAACTGGGTAAGCAGCAGCTGGAATCCTGGTGCAGTTAGTGGGCATCATGATAGTTCTTTTGGTAGCTGATACAAAATTTTGGATGCCAACCCTACATCTGGGTGTTTTTGTAGAGACACCATGTCTAGAAAGACTGCCACCCAAGCCTAAAGACGGGTTGCCTTCTCAGGTTAACAAAATTCTATTTAAAAATTTGAATATTACCTTTCTCACTGCATAGCTGACATGCATTTTAAGCACATCACTTAAAAAGTACTACATAGTAAAGTATCTACTGATTGATTGCCAACTTAAATACATCCTGTGTAACTGTTTGAATAGATATTTATTATGGCTAGAGACCTATATTTATTGATTCATTTATCACAGCTTATCAACTTTTTGCAGATTATTTAAAAGCCAGAAAATATTTTCAGATTGTAAGAATTTTTTTGAGATAATAATGATTTAGTGATACAAGTCTTACTAATTAACCTATAGGTTAGGGAGAGAAGAGGTGGATTCATATCTTTCAGAAGGGTGTTTGCATGTAAGTGAAAATAAAAAAAAAAATCAATGGGAATTGAAACTTGGCCCTCTGATTTCAAATTCCAGGCCATTATCCATAGCACCACCTGCACATCTAAGCTTACAGCACCTAATATTCCCAAGGGGTCACCCTTTTGGGTACTGACCAGATTCAACATTGCTTAACTTTAGTGATTGTACAGGAACCAGCATTCAATATGATATGTCCATAAGCTTCTGAATATACAGGGAGTTTATAAAATCCATGGGCAATTTTAAACACTTTTAGTTTTGGAGATATACATGATATAATCAATCTGTAAAAAATATTTATAAGCTTGGTGTGTCTGATGGCATTGGTAAAAATCAGTCTTCTTTGAACATTGCGGACTGGCGCTACAGATTCACAAATTACCAAATAACAGAAACAATAACATTTGAGGACTTTCAACAATAGCAAAAAAATTTGAGTTGACATTTCTAGAACAACAAAATTTGATCGGACCCTCTGACTCTATTCCATGAACTTTGAACAGAAAAATTGAGTGAACTTTTATTAATTTATTGCCAACTTTTGTTCTTGATGTCTATTGTTCACTTTCTTGTAAAAAAATTCTACTCATCTCGAAATATGTTAATTTTTGGTAATCTTTACATATCCTGATAGCTGTTTTATATATATATATATATATATATATATATATATAATGAAATTAAAAACCTCTGATTAGTGGATTGAACAGTTAACAATTACAAAAGAGTTTGTCTATGAAACTCCTTTCATCATCCGTTTAGGTTTTATTCCAATTCTAATTATCATCTTTTAAAAGAAACATTGCCGAGAATGGAAAAACCATCCCTTTTTTTAATGGCCACAAAGGTCCAAGTTTGACCATTGTTCTCATCAGAAAAAAAATGTGACATTTATGGGTCTTGAATCCTCTTCTAACCATCAGAAACTAGCTATCCAGTCACACCTTATCCACCCTCATCACAAGAAATTTGTTGGCCACTTGAAGGGTTATCATCAAAGTGACTAAGGAGTTCAACTATCCCGGTTTTGAAATCAGAGGGATCTTTCTCCTAGACAAACTGCCAACCAAGGCTAACAAGCTCTGTCTACCTATGTTTATATGATTTTGTCTGTAATACATTTTCTATATCACAAATTCTTATTATTCTGGAAAACTAGAGTAGAAGTCATAATTAATCTGGTTTATGGCCATATCACGTTGGAACACCAGTTTTTGCATATGATCACTGAAGTTGAACAAAGTCGAGCCTGGTCAATACCTACATGGGTGACTACTTAAGAAAAGCAGGTAAGATGGGATGTACAGGTGGTGTAAAGGATAATGGCTCAAAAATGGAAACAAGTTCCATTCCACTTGGGTTTGTTATATTCATTTACAAGCAAATATTCTTGGGAAAGGTATGATGCCACTGCTTGCCTCCAGCTATGGATTAAGTAGTAGGAAATTGTATCACTAAATCATTATCTACCACAAAACTTTGCAACCTAAAAATAATTTCTGGCGTTAAATAACCTGCAAAGGGTTGATAAACCATAAAAAAAAAAATGAATAAATCAAAATCAAATAATTAATCCAAAATTAATCAGTGTTTTAATATTCAGGAAATACTGAACATAAATAGTTGTTGTTATTTGATAAGAACCATGTAATTGCTTAAATGCTACTGTCATTTCTTGACAGCAACAATAAAGTAGGATAATTATAATAAATAAAAGTGAAAACTTTTGGATTCCTTTTTCAAGAAGTTTAGCATGAAAAACAAAGGTTAGATGTTGACTGGCATGTTTTAGATGATTTTGTCAGCTAACAAAAATCATTAAGATGAGAGGGAAAGAAATTTAAAGATGGTGGCCAAATATGTTTTAAATTCATTATTAAAATCTAACTTCAAATTTAGTTCTCATCTCCCATTCATTCCTAACATGTTTCAAGTGACATAGAGCAGGAAATACATTTCTCGAAGGTAATAAACCATCATGTTGTTGACTATCTTTTATCATTCAAATTTCAATGTTTCTTTAGTTCTTTTAAAATTTTAATTCTTTACTTTTATCTCTTCTCTATATTCTTTTTCAATGTTTTTCATTTTTTTTTTCTAAATATCTTTCATTCTTTTTTTTTTTTCATTTACTTTTTTCTGTCATTTTTATGCCTCTTTTTTTCTTACCTTTACTGACCGTTTTCTTTCAAGTATAATCTTTATTTTACCTTCATTCATTTGTTCTCATTTTTTTTTTACTCATTTTTTTTTTTCAGTCTCGTTCGTTTGTCAGATTTTTCTTTTACTCATTCTTGTCCTCTCCTAGCCACTTTTCTTTTGTTCTTTTCTCTTTCAAAATTTGATTTCTTTGCTACATTTCCTTCTCTTTCAAACTTTTTTCTTTATTCTCACTATTTCGTTTCTCCCTCATTTTTCCTTCTTCAATAAGGACAGTTTGTTTCAAGTTGCCTTCTTCAGAATATTTCATAGAAAATGTCTCGCATGCCTATATTTCAGTTTCAGTTCCTGTTTTGTCGTTTGTTACTTTCTCTTCCAAATTTCTTTTCTCGATTCCAAAAGCAATTTATTATCTTACTTCAAACGGTTTTCTAAAAGTTAAAATACATGCAACATCAACTGACATTCACCCCATCACCTTCCTCTGCTTTATCAACACAATACTATTGTGCCCACCCATACTCTCTCTATACCCGATACCTATTTCTATCACTTTACGCCCCCCCTCTCTCGACTACTCTTTATATTAATTTTGATATAGAAGATTAAAAATTTTTCCATAATTGCTGTCTTTAATTTCTCTACAATCAATAATTGTGTATAGTTTTTCTATTTTCAGAGAATCAGCAGAAGTAGCAGGCATGTGTAAGTGTGGTGGTGGTGGTGGTGGGAGAGACGATAGGAATGAAAAAAATTCAAGGAATGAAGTATTAAACAAATGAATGAAAATAATGATAAATACAAAAACGAAAAGAAAAGGTGAAAGAAAATGAAAAGACAAAATAGTGGCAATTAATGAAAATAAAGAGAAATTAAAGGAGAAGAAAAAAGGAGAAGGGAGAAGAAAAAAGGAGGAGAGAGAAGAAAAAAGGAGGAGAGAGAAGAAAAAAGGAGGAGAGAGAAGAAAAAAGGAGGAGAGAAAAAAAGGAGGAGAGAGAAAGAGAAAAGGAGGAGAGAAAGAAAAAGGAGAGAGAAAGAAAAGGAGGAGAGAGAAGAAAAAGGAGGAGAGAAAAGAGAAAGGAGGAAGAGAAAAGAAAGGAGGAGAGAAAGGAAAAGGAGGAGAGAGAAAGAGAAAAGGAGGAGAGATTAGAAAAAAAATAATGACATGGTTAAAGGATAGGGAGAATAGAAAAGAAAAAAGTGAAAGGAAAAACAAAGGAAGAAGAACGAAGGAAAGAGAATATGGCAAGTGGCAGGAGGAGGAGAAAAAGAGGAAGGAGACAAAGGGTGAAAATAAGGAGGAAAGAGGGACAGAAAATGAAAAGGAGGAGGAGGAGGAGGAAAGGGAGACAGATGATAAAAAAAGACATAATGAAAAAGAGGAAAGGGGGGGCAGAGAAAGAAAAGGGGACAGAATAAAAAGGAGAAGGAAAAGGGACAGAGAATGAAAAGGAGGAAAGAAAGAGAAACAATGAAAACGAGGAGGAAAAACAGGGGACAGAGAAAAGGAAGAGGAAAAGGGAACAGAGAGTAAAAAGGAGAAGGAAAACAAAAAGAAAAAGGGGACAGACAACAAAAAGGAGAATAAAAAGGAGAGCGAATGAAAAAGCAGATGAAAGGGGAACAGAAAATGAAAAGGAAGAGGAATGGTGATGAAATTTGAAAAGGAAGAGAAAGGAGGAAAGGGAATGAAAAGGAGGGAAAAAGGGAGAGAGAGAATGAAAAAAAAAGGAGGAGGAAAGGGAAGAGTAAAAAAAGAAGCAGAGGAGTAGATGCAGTAGCAATATGCACAATACAAACAAAGCATAAGTAGTTATTTAAGCAAAGAAAAACTCTGCATCAACAAGATAACTCGTGTTGTTGTACAAGATATTCTGTTGAAGACAACAAAGCTGGCAAAAAGATAGAATGGTGACTGGGAGGGTTGATGTCTTGGAGAATTTTGAGTGTATTTATTGGGTGGCGAGGTGGGTGGAAGTATTGAAAGACAAAGAGAGGAAAATTAACCTATGGAAGATGCAAGCGACAAAGCAGGGACAACCAAGATTGCATTGGAATTTTGAGAGGTTCCTGAAAACAAAAGCTGGAGAAAGAAGAAGTTTAGAAAGAAAAAAACGACTAATTAGCATTATGAGAGATGTTATGAGAGATTCTGAGTTGAAGAAATTATTCCACATAGACAATGGATAACATTAAGGGGGGGGGAGCAACTTTGAAAAGAGGAGAAATCAAATCTATATAGATATCCAATGAGATATACATAACTAGTCACCTCATAAAGTAACGAGATTTATATCTATATAAATAAATGAAGAGAGAATTATATAGTTGCTTTCTACTCTTGCCCTTGATGACCTTTTTTTTTGTTTAAAGGAATTACATTGAATGAATAAACAGCCAATTGTCAGAAGAGTCAAGTGATTTTCTGATTTCTTTCATTACAATCTAAATAAAAAAATAACACTAATGGATTTTACATATGAGGTTTTATATATATATATATATATATATATTTAATTACTATTTTTATTATGTAAGATTATAGCAAAAATGTTGACATTGTTACACAATAACTTTCGTATTTTGGCTACATTTTGCCTTTCAGATGGTGGTAGGTAACTTGTGTGTGTGTGTGTATACATACATATATATATATATATATATATATATATTAGGTTAGTGCAAAATAATTTCGTTTTTTCTAACATATATTTTACTATGTGAGAAAAAACGAAATTATTTTTGCAATTAACCTAATATATATATATATATATATATATATATATATATATATATTCAGTTGTATGGATATTAGATTGTAACCCAGGCTTTCACACATTTATGTTTATTTGTGTTTGATTCTTTGTGTGGGGTGAAAAGGGGAAATTTTTTTTTGTGCTTGTATGGGATGAAACACACATACAGGTGTATACATTTTAGATGGAATAAAACACACCCATATAAATAATCTAAGGTTAGGCACAGATACACATCCATGTGTTTGAGCATATATATATATATATATATATATATATATATATATATATATGCATGCAATTGTCATTGTATTTTGATGTTAAGACTGTAGCATTACATATATGACAAGGTTCTCTTAACAAGGAGCAGATGGGGGTTCTCTCATTATTATCCATCTGCACTATATATATATATATATATAAAGACAATCTTGAAAAAAAAACCGAAAGTACTTGTGAAATTAAAATAAAAGAAATTTAAACAGCTATAGCAAATTTCTCTCATCCTTTAACATTGATACATGGAAGGTTATTCATGAGTATGAATGGATTTTATTAAAATTAGCAGACATAATGTCTAATTTATTCAATCAGACATGCCTAAAAGAGAATTTGCTGCCTAAATATATATATATATATATATATATATATATATATATATATATATAATTGAAGCTACCTGCCTCCTAGGGCAGGTAGCCAATCTATATCAAATGCCCACTCAGGCGCAGTTGTGTTTATTTAACACCCACAGAGCCCACCTGTGTTTTATACTGCAACTATGCTGAGCAGACCTTAGTTACTGTTTCTGGGAGAGAGCATGTTATCTAGCATGATCAACAATCTGAACAAGGCCAGCATGCTGAAACCCTCAGTTATGATGATTTGTGACATGCTTGCACAGCCACTGATGGACACTAAGGGTTTTATCTACCCAATTTCCCTCACATGGCTTGGATCAGGCACTTTCCAAAGATGGTGCATCCTGGGATTTCCCTCTCCAGACTGATAGCATACATACATACATACATACATACATACATACATATATATATATATATATATATTCATTCATTATATATAACATAGAATTTCCTCAATATATCATGTAAGAAAATAGAAAAAGTTGATTTGTGAAATGTTTTATCTGACTGGGTTTGTTGATATTGTTGTGACTACACATGTGCATGAGAGACACTGGTAGTTTCAAAATATTTTAAAATAATTTTTTGCAATCTAGCCAAATTCATTTATATTACTTTTTCTTTCCATTATCTTTGTTTTTAAATATCCCACATTATGATAACAAAAAAAATCTGCCAAGAATGGTGAAACGTTATAACCAGGACACAAATATACTGTGGATGATCTTGTGATTAAAACACTTTCTAAACATTTTCAACTAAATAAATTATTTTCTCTTTTGAATAGAGTAGCATTTTTTATTTCAAAATTGTGATCAGTTTCATTACAGTGAACAAAGAATATATTTTGTGTGTTTTTTAAAATGTCTCTTTTGTGTTCATATAATCTTTTATTTAAACTTCTTGTGGTTTCTTCAATATATTCTTTCTGGCAATCCTTGCCGGTGATAGAGAAAATTCCTGCTTCAAGTTTTGGTTCATTGTTTTATTTTGTATTGATTAAGCCTTTTATTATTCTAGATGTAGTTGACAAATTTTATGCTAAGGTTAGATAAATTCTTTTTGATTGTAGCTGTGATAGAGTTTTATATTCAATGTGAAACAAAAGGCTCATAAAATATTCCAAAATAGAAAAGCGTCCTCTCTTGATAAACCAGACGAATCAAAAAAATATATTGTTCTACCCATTATCACAACTACTGTCAATGGGTTTTAATAATAAAAAGTAAGTCTATAGAAAAGCCCAGGCCAAGATACAAAAATTATACAGATTAAAAACATATCTAAACAAACATGTATATCCATCAACTGCTATGAATACAGTAATAACAAATAGACACACACACACACATTTTATTTAGATGGTAATTTCTTCTAACAAGCAAGCAGCAGTTTAGAAACCTGCTAAAGGGTAAATTTTCTTTACGATTCTTGAATTCACCATCAAGTAAATGTAATTCACACTGATTTTTTTAAAAAATATGCATCTCCATATACATGTTTATCAACAAAAATATGTTTATATATATATATATATATATATATATGTGATGAGAACAAAAGTAATAAATATATTCTAATGTTCACTGCATTAATCCAAAAGAGAGAGATCAATACCGATAGTAGAGCGATAATTATTTATGTATTATAATTTTATCATATAGACAAAACCATTTTACTCACTACAAAGATGCAACTTTGTTTCAGTGCATTTCAACTGCACTTCGACAGGTGAGAACTGAAAATGGTTATGAACAATCCTGCTTGTAGGCAAGCTGTATGTGAAACGTCACTTCCTCTTTACATTCATTTGAGAAGAACAAAATATACATAAAGCAAAAAGGTGACAGAGTGAAACAATAGTGCTTGTCGATAGCAGTTTGGTGAAGAATGGATGGGGTGTGGAAATTTTTTTCTCACCAATAAGCACTGGTCAAAAGTTTAGGCACATCATCTCACAAGCACTCCTATATATATATATATATATATATATATATATATATATATATATACACACACACACACACACTAGATTAAAAGCTACACATCCTGCAGACATTTAAGCTAACTCCTGCAGTCCAGCTGAGAAAACAGAGCAATGATAATTTTGAAGAAATAACTTTGAAATCTTCAATTCACTCCATGGAACTTCAAAACCTCACTTAAACTCTGATTCAGGCTATAAGTCAAATTCCACCCAAAAGACCGACTTGGCACCAAAATTGAGTTCTTCAATCACTAACCCTGCAAAACTTTGAAACCTCATGTCACGAAACTTTTTAATTTAACTCTGATTCCTTGGCATTTTGAAGAAATAAAATTGACAAAATCAATTCAAACTTTGATGATTTAAACTGAATTTAAAACAAAAATTTTAAAATTCCCAAAGTCTCCTCCTGAGTAAAAGCCAACATTAAGGCTTTCATCCCAGCAAGAAAATATCAAGTTAAATCGTGCTCATCTCCTTGGTTCTCACCTGCTTGTTCAGCCGCTATAGCCTACAGGAATCACTTCTTCCATTTTTGGTTCTAATGATTATTGGCGGATCTGCAAGAGTGTGCTGAAATACAGAAAATCCTCAATCCATCCTCTATTCAATCAATTCAAAGTCCTAACATCCACAGCTGATAAAGCTGAATGTTTTGCTTGGAAAATCTTATCCAACTCAACACTCGACTCATCCAGGGTACTCACACCTGATTTTCCCATTAGAACTGAGACTCTACTGAGTAAGATGTGCATAACCCTGTTGATGGTATTGGACATCATCTCTAAATTAGACTCTCATAAAGCAAGTGATGGTGATGGGACACCGGCTGTAGGTCCAAAAGAAATATGTTCCCAAGCTGGCTACAGTTCTCTCCAAGCTATACAACAATTGCCTCACTAATTCTTGCTTCCCAGTTTGTTGGAAGTCCTCCTCTGTTGTTTCTAACTTTAAGGACTCTGGGGACCCTTCTGATCCATACCGTCCTATCAGTCCCTTAGCAGAAGAAAAATATTTTATTTTTATGTATATTTTTCTTCTCAAAATGATGGAAAAAAGAAAGTGACGTTTCACATATGGCTTGCCTATAAGCAGGATTGTTCATAACGATTTTCGATTCTCAATCATCGAAGTGCAGTTGAAATGCACTGAAATGAAGTTGCATCTTTGTAGTGAGTAAAATGGTTTTGTCTATATGATAAAATTATATATATATATATATATATATATATATATATCTAAGTGAACATTGAAGTCAACACTCAGAGGCAAAATGCTTTTTCAAGCTAGATGCAATTGTTAAGCCACAAGAACACTTGCAGTCTGATGATTGCGCCTAGTTTGGAAAAAGCCTGTCACCTCTGAGTACTGATTTCAATGTTCACTTTTATATTTACCTATGCTCTATCTCTGATATTGAGCACTTTATCCCATAAAATATATAGCACACCTTAAAACTATATATATATATATATATATATATATATATATATATATATATATATATATATATATATACACACACACACAAATAATATGCACACAAAGGACTGTATTGGAGAAATATAATTGGGAGTTGTTCAATGATATAATTCTAGGGAACATGTTTCATCCTTCAAAAGGACTTCATCAGACTAAAATAATGTTCTTATTGATGAGAGAAGGGGTGAAATATAAACAAAGATATAAAAAAACCAAAAAGTCTGCTTAGCTGTATGTCTAGACACATCAAAGGCCAGGAATTGAAAATTTAAAGTTTACTCTCTCTAGAAGTTCAGCAAGTAGGGAAGCACTCCGAAATATAAACAAAAATGATGATTAGAATTAAAATTCGAGAGGAGTGTCAAAAATCTAGGGATGCTAAACTTTGATGAAAAACTTCTAGGCCCAACAAATATTTGTTAACTTAAAGAAAATGTTAACAAAAAGAACGCAAACTCATAATCAGGAAAAAAAAACAAAAAAGCAGCTGAAATTCCTTGGACATGTAATAAGGAAAGAAGGCTTGGCAAAGTTAACCCTATTGAGGGCAAGAGAGATAGGAGAGGGCAGTGAGCCATTTACTTATTGAGCTTATGTGAATGGATTTTAGAATGGGCTACAGGGACCTTAGCAAAGGGAAAAAACTGCTAAGAGCCACACAAGACAGAAAGTTGTGGAGAGCCATGATCGCCCACATCCTGAAGGGACACAGCATATAGAAGAAGTAGATAAGATTTCAAGAAGTGGGGTGGGTTGATAACTTGTAAGAACCTCCATTGTATACATGTGTCTGTGTCTATATATGTACACACACAAATTTATCTGCATGTATTTATATAGAAATATAGAAGAAAATAAGAAATAGAGGTAACAACTCAAATATGTGAACCTACTAAAAATAATGTTTATAGTAATAAAGTGTGTGTGTGTGTAGCTTATTCAAATATACAAAGAAGCAGCTTATCAGTAAACAGACACAAATTCATATATATATTTACTTATGTAAACATCCCAACTGACACACATATACATCTGACCCTCTTCTCCCCAACACTGCCAAAAAGCAAATTTTTGAGTTAAGCATACAACTAAATACACCTTCTCTCTACAAAGACATATGGCCATACATCTGTATAAACAAATTCAAGCATATCCCTAGGTGCAAACTGCAAATATAAGTCTATTATTTTTATTGGTCTGCAACCAATGAACAAAAAAATATTTTATACAACTACTTATTTTTCAACATAATTCTGTAGTGAATTTTAATCACATATATAATGAACATTCATCATCATCAATCTTGTGACAGGGTGTGATCAGAGTTGTTACATTCATATGTAGTGCGTCTTGGGCAAGTAGATGTGGTGGAGCCCATCCATCTCCAGGTGAAACCATAGTGGATGTCACTCAACTTGAAGATTCACCTTTGACAGATGGCTGTTGATTTCATTAGGGGAACTCTTTACCCTGGCACTGTTAATTTCCCTCTAGGAAGCCTACTGTCCACTTGTAACATTTATAATTGACTGAAGTGTTACACATTTTATATGGACAAGATGCATAGCATCATTACTAAATCACTGTGCCATCAAATAAGACCTTCATTTACTTTAAAGGGAAATTATACTAAACAATTCTTGTGATATTATGATGTAATATGTTATACAGAGCAGTAGTTTTTAATGTGATTTTCAATAAACAATATAAATTTGAAACATTTTGTCATATAATTTGTTCCCACCAGTATTAATTATTGTGTTATATACACTTATATCAATATTTTGTTTTTATTAATTACGATCAAACAAATCTTATTCATTGAGTAACCTTTTTTGTAATCTTTTACAATATTTTTACACTGTTTGTTGTGATTTATAATTATAATTTTGGTTTGAATATATTTTCCATTCAACGCATCTAATACAAAAGGTATCAATTTTATTTGGATTTATTCTTGAAATAGTAACATTTTGAAGTAAGCCAAAACCTGTAAAAATTAGGTATTTCTGTACATTTTTCAGACAATCTTTAAACCTAAATTCTCAAAAATTGGTAAAAGCTAGGAATCTAATTTTTGGTGTCAGTACTTATCACATCAAACAGCTTTCTCAGTGAGTGTAATGCTGATTTTCTGAAAAAGCAAAAAAAAAAAAATCAACCTTCCTTAATGTATATATCATCCCATATATATATATATATATATTTATATGTATATATGTAAAAAGACATACATGCATCCATATGACAAGATTTAAAAAAACAAATATACATTATGTGTTTTATCTGTCTAAAGGAATTCTTCAGACTAAGTGTTTTTATCAATGAAAAATTATATATATGTAGGTTTAGTTGGTTAATTTTGTTTAGTGGCATATCAACATTTCACAGGTAATTTAATGCTGAAATCTAAATATTTTGTATGCAATTTCTATTTTTATTTATTTTTTGGGGGAGATAATAATTTTTTAGTGATGCATGTCTTAATAATTAAGCAGTGGGGGAGAAGAGACGGCTTCAAACTTTTCCCCAAAGCTATTTGCTTATCAGTGACTATAACGAACCCAACTGAAATTGGAACTTAGTTCTCCAATTAACAATTATGAGCCACTGTCCATTACACTACCTGTACATCCAAACTTACAGCACCTGGTATTCCCAAGTAGTCACCCATCTGACTAGGTACTGACTAGGCATGATGGTGCTTAACATTGGTGATCATACAGGAACCAGTGTTTCAATGTGATGTGGCTGTAAACCCATATCTATGTTGTGAGAGGGAAGAAAATACAACAAATCTTGGTTATAATTCTAGCTCAAGAGAAATACTAAAGACAGAGGGACAATTAACTTAAAGTTTAGATTTTAAATTCCTGGCATCCATTGTGTTGAGACGCATAACCTAGCCAACCTCATTCAGCTTTCTACTACATTTTTTTTTTTTATTGCTACTATTTTTAAATATCCAACATCAGACATTTAATTTTCCCCCTTCCTAAGCATAGGATGTGGGGGTGGTGTAATGGATAATAGCACAAAATGAAAAATTAGAGAGACATGTTCCAATTCCAGTCATGTTTGTTATATTCACTTACATGCAAATACCCTTGAGAAAGGTATGAATCCATTTCCTCCCCAAGCTATGGACTAAATAGTTGAATCTGGAAAAAAAACATTATTCTTAAAATATTTGTTAATGCAAAATTCACTGAAAAAAATAAATAAAAAAATTAAATAAAAATAAAAGAACCTTAAAATCCCAAATATGTTGCAGGTTTAAATAACCTAGAAAGAGTTGATATACCATAAAAAAAAAAAAAATCAATCCAGCTGCTACATATAATTCTAATAGTGAAAATATTTAGTCTGAAGAATTGCTTTTGAAAGATGAAACATGTAATGGTTTTTTTTTTCCATTTTTTAATTCAACTACCAACTAGCTGTCCGATATTTATATAGAGTGTGTATATCATTCTCTCATACATTCAGAAACACACATTATCTATTTACATATAAGTATATTATAATAAATAATAATAATAAAAAACAAAAAGCTAACTCTCAATAATATCAACAATAAACATGGCCAGAACATGCTGACCGTGTTCAGAAATTAAAAAAAAACATTCCTATTCCTATAGTGATTTTCTAAGTATAAAAAGGTTGAAAACATCCAGTGAGAATCAAGATCACTACTCAGTCACAATGGATCTAGTGAAAAAATATTGCTAATCATTGCACCATACTGATGTGCTGATTTGCATCCCTACACACACAAACATACATACATACATGTATGTATATTTCAAGAATCTGAGAAAAATTTGCATTTATAAGGCATTATTCGCACTTTGTGGCCAAGATGGTCTAAAGCATATCAGATCTAACAATTACTTCCTCTGCAGGTTTGAATCCTGCTGGAGAGCACGTATTTTTCTTTAATAAGATTTCTCAAATATTCAAGCTGGTAGATGAAAATAAATAAATATACTGTTTAATGAATAAATGGAGCATCTACACAAATATGGGTATCCACTAAAATAACATTTAAGTAGTAAAATATATAAATAATTGGAGAGAGCGAGTGATAGTAAAAAGGTTTATTCTCCCATTTATGGGTATTATTATATCTTTGATATAATAACACCCTATTTAATGAGCAGAACAGAATGACTGAATGTAAAAGAAATGACAAACCTGCTTTTATTTTCAGAGAGACTTTTATATCACTAAGACATACACAAAACTTTTATATATATATATATATATATATATATATACACACACACACACACACACGTGTGTGTGTGTGTGTGTGTGTGTGTGTGTGTGACCCATGTGGAGAAACCCAACAATATATCATATCTATACAGTGAACAGAAATTAAGGAGAAACAAAAATAAGGGTCTTACATATAACATGGAAATTCTTCTGTGTTTCTGGAGAAGCTATGTTTAGAACACAAGATTAAATAGGCTGGTTTCATCTACTATGTCCCAGGTGAGGACATATTCCACAAAGGGGAAACGGCAAGTCTAGGATTTTCCTAAATTGAGTACTGCGTGCCGGAGTTTCTTTCTATATCTGGGGAAAATACATTCTCAAAAGAAAATAGTGTCATGGACTTGTAAACTGTAGTATTTGCTGGAGGATTCAGATTTAACCTCAGCGCGAGCCCCTTGGCCCAGGCTGAAAAAGTAACTGCTTGGTTTGTATACTGTAAACAAACTGAATAACTAGCCACTTTCATCAGTGTTTGAAGTGATGTCACTCAGCAGCTGTTACATGACCAATGTGACTTATTTGCACCAAAGGGAGATAATCATCTTCTTTATCTCCCCCACATATACATATATTAATAAATGTCAAACACTTAAAATTTAGTATTAGTATTTTAAATGTTTGATATTCATTAATTAATAAATTTGCTCTGTCTCAGATATAGAGCTCTCCTTGCATCTTTATCCTCTTGGAAATTCCATATGGATTACCATTTGAATTTATCATATATAAGTCTATATATTCAGTTAAAGATAAAAATATCCTTGATAATGGCTAATAGGTTAGTCAAAAGCACTCAGATCCACAGATATTTGGACAGTAGACAGTTTTTACACACTATATCCAGAAAAAAATCACATGTACAAATGCCAGAAAAATTTAATAAAAAAAAGCTTAATCGCAGTGCCTTGTCAGTTGTCTTCAGTGAAACTTGTATAAAAAAGAGTGTTTACTACCCAAATATGCACATTTTCTATATATATATATATATATATATATATATATATATATATATATATATATATATATATAGATATAGAGAGAGAGAGAGAGAGACAAAAGGAAAACTTAGTTGATGTGTTTCATCCTCTGACGGGCTTTATCAAAGTACATGTTTGCCTTGAAAAAAAAAAATCCATAAGAGGACGAAAATGCATCAGTTAAAATAAGTTTCCCTTTTGTCTTTATTCATATTTTCCTTTTACAAATATATTGTCGTCATATCTGATATTTTATACACACACACATATATATATATATATATATATATATATATATATATATATATATATATATATATATATATATATACAATTATTATTCCACATACAGATTTATAGTGTAAAAAGAGTGAATGAAGAGCAGAAAACATAACCTTAATTGATATGAAATTCTCGTAACATTTTCGACATACAGAATCAATAATTAATAAGACAAATCTTAAACAGCACCTTAATTCATATAATTTTTCCATTTTCTTGGATTTGTAATGCTAGTCCCATCTCTCATCAACAAGCCTCATTATGTACAGGAAAAAAGCAGCCCGCAAATGATGGGGGAGGGGGATATAGATAGGGAGATGGTAGGAATGAGAGAGTGGGAGATTGTCGAGCTTGATGATGGTGAAGAGTCGGAGAGGAAATTCATAAAGTGGAAAGGCAAAAAAAAAAAAAAATGATTTTAAAATAGTAACGTGTAAGTATTTGTTGAAAGAGCAGAGATGCAGGCAGGCTGTGGGGACAGGGGGTGGAAATGGATGCTGATGGGAGATTGGAATCAGTGGGGTGGCAGCTGGTGGGAGATGTAAAATATTGAAATGTTAAATTTGTAAAGATGTGGTAGATTTTATGTGCGTGGGTTGAAATTATTGCTGAAGAGAAAGACAGCAAATGTTTAGGTAGGAGAAAAAGAATTACACCAGTGGACTTTTTCAACTTCCACCTCCACCAATATCAGTTACAAAAACCAAATTCTTATGGTGTCTATATATGTAGATATTTATGTATGATTTTGTGATCAGTGTATCTACAAATGGTCCATCCTCAATATTGAGTACATTTCCTTCTAAAAGAAAAAAAACAAAAAAAACAAAAAAAAACAGCAATTATACATATGTGCGCACACACACACACACAATGTGATGGGTAAATTGTCGTCTAAATTACGCAAAAATGAAAATAACTCTGACATCACATTTTAAAAGATATATTTAGTGAAATTAGACAAAAATATCTTGAAATACTAAAGAGTGAATTTATTCAATAAAATCACCATTGGCTTCAACCACAGCCTTCAGATGACTTCAGAATCTCCTGCAAATCTTGTGGATGGTCTCCTTCTTTAAGTTGGTGAATGCTACCATAATCCTTGCCTTCAGTCCATCTTTGGTGTTACAAGTTTTGTTGATTTCTTGTTTAATTGTGCCCCACACATATTAATCAAGGGTTTACAGTCAGGGGAGTTAAGTAGCCAGATGTAAGGGGTGATGTAGTTGCAGAAATTGTCTGACAGCCATGACTGTGTTCTCCTGCTTGTGTGGCATGGTGCAGAGTCCTGTTGCCAGACATAGGGTCTTCTAGCAGCCATCCTCTTGACCCAGGGCAGCACTACCTCCTCAAGGCACTTGATGTAGGCATCTGAAATGAGTCAGGGGGCCATGTGGGAAAATGAATGAAGGCATAACATCATCATCGCTAGTAACCACTCCAAACACTTTCATAATCCCCATTAGATTCATTGAACTCTTTCTGAATCTTCTTCACTGTCCTCAGATTGACACACAAAAACACTGAAATGTTTGTATTTGTGCTTCTTGTGCAAATGCGAAGCAGTACAGCATGTCATTTCTAAATTTTTGTCAGACTGAATTGTGTCATGGTGCTCTTTTTCTCAAAGACGGTGCCCAACTGACCCTACTATACTGTGCAGTTGGCAAAATCAAAAACAAATAATGTGCACACGCAAAATTGAAAATATAAAATGGCAACAATTTACCCATTGCACCATATACATATACACACACATATATATATATATATGAGTGTGGACAAAGAGCTCAACACCAAATGAAAGCATGAAACAGTATTGAACTGTGCCCACACTGATTATATTTACACATGCTCTATCCTGGACAGGTACTTTTATCCATAAATATACCATACCTCAAAACTATATATAGAGTACTTTGACATGGTGCAATCCTTAGTAAGCTCAATCTTCACACAGCCCTACACTTTTGTACCTTGTGTCACAACTAAGCTACACTTAGTAAATTAATTATATATATATATATATATATATATATATATATATATATATACACACTTTAGACTTTTACTACTGAGGTTCCCTTCTATGACCATCAAAATAATATCTACGTACAACCTGATGGCATTTCCATGGGTTCAGTTCTGGGACCAACATTTAGTAACATCTACATGGCTAACCGTGAAAATAAGATGTTTAATACCACT